AAACCTATATGATAATAGGGTATATTTGACCGGAGATCCCTGCCAAGTGAGCGATGCCCTGCTTCACCCTTCTGACCATGGAATTTGATGTTGCAGCACGTTAGCAAAGTGCAGGAACTTTGGCTCTCACCTCAACGTCATCTTCTAGATCGGCATTGTTAAACAACGCAGTGCTTTCGCATATACAACAATACAACATTAGCCAGTACAGTTTCTGGTTCCTGCGCAGCCTGCACCTGATGCTCGACGCAGCGAGGGTGAAGAGCGAAAGCGTAGTTATATTGTGGGGGGGAGGGGGAGGGGGGGGNNGGGGTGGGCGGAGGGGTTGTCCAAATATGGTGCTTCTGCTTTTTTGGGTACCTTGAGTCTCAGAGGTGGTCTGAGTATACAACTGGACTCGAACAAGCATCACAGTTTTGAGAACCTACTACATGAATGCCACAAGTCTTCCGAGACACTTTACCGCAAATAGTTTTTCCGTAGCCTTGTTGCGCAGCTCAATTGGCGTCCTCGAACAACCATGTAAAATCCAGGGTGGGATGCGAAAAAGGGCTGCTGCAAGCGAAATTGTCCGTCCTCCAATTCTCCATCTTGGAAAGATTGGTGGAGATGTACATCCAGATGCAGTCCACTATCTTGATGTTCCCCGTAATGAGGTACCTGGCAGACTAGACCTCAAGGGGATGTTGCTCCTGCCCGACATCAAAGTCTACATCAAAAACTCTATGAATCAGCCCAAGCCATGTGAGCTATAGTCAAAACTCCTAGTATCCCGCTTCTGAATACTCCTCTACATAGCCCCTTCAACATAGCCCCTTCAAGGAGCTTAGATGCTAAACCCTACATCCTATATACTTCTCTATATAACCCCCTCTGAGGAGTTTAAACCCTAAACCCTAAACCCTATATACTTCCCTATATACTTCCCTATATAACCCCCCTTTAAGGAGTTTAGACCATAGCCCATCTGACTGACTAGGCAACAGTGGTGGACATCCAGGTCACTTCCCGTAAGCTTGCAGATCTTCATGCCTTGCTGGATGAAATCAGGCTTTAGGGTTTAGGAGTTAGGTTTGGGGTTTAGACTACACGATCCGTGTGATGGAAGGGGTTTCCATACATAGGAGGGCCCAATAACCCTGAACCTTCCACCCAAATGTAGACTAAGTCTTTACAATCCTTACCCTAAACCCTAATCCCTAAGATAACTAAATGAGCCCCTAGAAAATTACGCTCCTCATATACCCCTGGGATCCGACTGTAGGGCCGAGGCTTTAAGTTTTAGGGTTTAGAGTTTAGGGTTTAGGGCTTAGGGTTTAGGGTTTAGTGTGTAGGGTTTAGGGTGAAGGCCTGAATTGCCAAGGCACCGAATACCGTAGGATCGACCATTGGGATCTTCCCGGGCTTGCATTCGCAAGTGGCTGACCTCAGGGGTGGCCTTCTGTGGGGATTACGCATGGATTGCGCGGGTCGGTATTTGATAAACTGAAACAAGATGGAGCTGCAGGCTTTAGAACTGATCGATTTTGTTGATCATTCTCTCCTCAGCTATGCTCGTCCATGGGTTGTGCGGAAGGGGCGCGAAAAGCGTGACGAAAACTGTTTCGGCCATGAAGGCAGCACAGAGCATCCTGACCACGGCTTACACTCGAGGGTTTGGGGCTTTGCTGCCATCGTACATGAATTTCTCACAGTCACACAGCCCGACCACCCTACACATGCTTAGTTTGGATTGGGGAACAGATTCCTATAGTAGTCCCGATGACTATCTCTTCCAATCAACCCTGTAACCAATTTCCCCAATCCCAACTCAACATGAGCAAGGAAAGCCCTGGCGGTCCAGTGGAAGAGCTGCTGGCAATACTCGCCCCAGCTGTCCCTGTATTTGTCGCTGAACTGCCTGGTCAACGTCTTAGGGGTGGTTAGTCAGTAGGGAAGGCAAGAAAGATAATGTAGGGATTACCCTAAACCCTAAACCCTAAGCCCCAAACTATAAACCTTAAACCCTAAACCCTAAAACCCTAAGCCCAAACCCACGGTGATGCTAGGCTAGTGTAGAAATGGCATGTCAAGAGCAGAGTCTGTCAAGAAAGGCAGCGGCAAACCTCCGCACTTCGGCCACGCCGGTATCATGATGCTTCATGCCCCACTTCAGGACCTGCAAAAAGGGTTTAGGGTTTAGGGTTTAGGGATGGAAGCTGAGGAAGGAAGTCAACAGCTAGTGCAAATGGGCACTGGCAGATGCGTGCATCAAGAAATGTGCAAGCATATGAGCTATAGTCTAAACTCCTAGTATCCCCCTTAATATCCCCTATAGTAGTCCCTATATAATCCCGTATATTACCCCCCATTAAGGAGTTTAGACTATGGCTCATATGCATCCATAAAGCGACTTGGAGTCTTCAAGCCAACTGTTCAACCAGACTTAAGACCGCAGGAGGCGCGCAAGCCTCCATCTCTACCACTGCATACTAACCCAGTGGGTTAATCTCAGGGTTATATGGGGATAATGGAAAAGCAAATGGAAACTATAGAGGTTACAGGGATTATATAGGGGTTGTATTATCTTCTGAGCAGCCGGCCTTGAGATTCTTCAGGTGCTTGTACCTCTTACTTGCTGGTGGTTTTTTAGGGTTTTAACGGTTTAGGATTGTAGGCGTTTAGGGTTGTAGGGCTTGAAGGTATAGGGTTTAGAGTTCAGGTTTCAGGGAATCGGGAATGGGTCTTCATAGTAGTCCCTACAGAATCTGCTATGGCTGTGCCTATGTCATACTCTTTTGTTCACCGCTAACCATAACTCCCAGTGAGGCACATGGCACATCCCTGCTCGCAGGAATCAAGACTACCTCACCCTCCAGCTACCCTCATTTATGGCCCTAAACCCTAAAATCCTAAACCTTAAACCCCTGAACCCTAAATTCCCAAACCCTAAACTCTAAATCCCTAAGCCCTTAAACACTAGATCCTAAATCCTAAACCCTAATCCCTATAATCCCCTATAGAAACCCAGTTTCCATTTCATTTTCCATTTTCTTTTCCATTTGATTCTCCATTATAGTAGGTACCCCTTAATTGTTTAGGGTACAGGGAAGGTCTTGGCACAGAATTCGGCACCTTGCCAGGAAGGTGGTGGACCACACTCCCAGGAAGATTGAGAAAGCCACTGACCTCATTGCCAGTTCAGGGTTTAGGGTTTGGGGCTTAGTGTTTCGGGTTTAGGGCTTAGGGTTTAGGGCTTAGGGTTTAGGGCTTAGGGTTTAGGGCTTAGGGTTTAGGGCTTAGGGTTTAGGGTTTAGGGTTTAGGGTCCCTCGCTTGCCAACAACTTACCAAGGGCTAAGTTTTGGTGATTCATGTCCGTCAAGACTGGGCACCTGCACAAAATCTTTGAGCCATTCCTTCAACTGAGATAGTTTTAGAGATATAGGGACTATGAGCCATGATAGTTACATATGAGCTATAATCTACACTTCTAAGCGACCCCTGTAATACTTCTCTATATAATCCCCTACATAACCCTCTTTAAGGAGTTTAGACCCCTAAATCCCAAACCCTATGTAACCCTCTCTTCGCGTTTGAATCCCAGGAATTTCCCAGTCAACAAGGCCAATCAAGTCAGGTCCGAGTTGCTCTCCCCAGCGCACCTGGTCCTCATTTCGTGGTGTTGTTAAGGAACTTAAGTTATGTTACCATAATATGGGTATATAGGATTTGGGGCTTAAGTTGCCATATATGGTTGTATACTAAATAATAGGGCTTCCTTTTTCTAGGAACTTAGCTTAACTTCCTAAACTTCGTGGTGTTCTATCCACACCAACGAGCAGAAGGCACTAGCATTCATGACAACCCTAAAACCCTATACCCTCTACTCTATACACGCACATATATATGTATATCAACCCTGAACCCTAAACCCTGCATATATAGATGTATGTATCTACATGTATATTGTACCCTAAACCCTAAACCTAAAACCTCCTTTAGTGGGTTTAGACTATGGCTCATATGTATATTGTACTATTATGAACTTATCCTGTAGTGACGCTGAACCCCAGCAACCTCTAGCTTTGCGCGACCCAAAAAAGGAGGGAATGGATCCGTTTCATGGTCCTCACAGTCCCGGATGATATGAGTAGTACCTATAGTGGGTTAGGGTTTAGGGTTTAGGGTTTAGGGGGGTATATGGGTTTAGGGTTAAGGCTTTAGGATAGGTATAGGGACATATAGGGATATTATCCCCCTGCGACGGAGAATCAAATGGAATCTGAAATGAAAACTGTGTATATGTAAGGGTTACTGGGTCGCCGTTACGGAACTTAAATGAAGCTATACTAAGGCAACCCCATGAGTTAATATATACCCAGATTATGGTATCTTAACTGAAGTTCCTCAATTAACAGCAACCCAGTATAGTGTACATTGACTCCCCCACCCCCTTTGACACCGGTAAATCAAAGCCAGCACATCCAACATCTTGCGAACAGAGCTTGGGAAGGCCCAAAAGGTGAGGTAAAGGAAGCTGGGGTGTAGGTTGTGCACCCTGTAACAGTCTATATTAGGGATCATATTAAGGGCTATATAAAACTATATTATTCGTATTCTCCAACTGTTACAGAGTGGGGGCAGTACCCAAGGTACCCAACAGAATAGAATCTTCAATGCTCACCTTTGGTTAACTAGGAATGGAGGAACGGATCCTTACAGCAGTCCCATTCCTTCATTCTCAGCTAATCAGAGGTAACCTCTACGTATACATACCCTCCCCCCAGTTTCGAGCTCATTTTCCATGCGATATTCCATTTGATTTTGCATTCTTGGGATACTAAACCCCAAACCCCAAAACCTAAATCCTAAAGCCTCAACCCTAAATCCCCTAAACCCTCAACCCTGAACCCAAAGAATCTACAATAGGGATCCTTCAACCCACCTTTTTGAGCCCCCTGAACTTCAGAAGGACGAGAGGCAGGGATGGACCTTGGCGCCACGCGGTTTAGGATTTAGGGTTTAGGGTTTAAGGTTTAGGGTTTAGGGTTTAGGACTTAGGGTTTAGGGTTCAAGTTGGACAAGGCTACAGGGGGCGTTCTCAAAAAGTGGGGCCTTATGGACCGACCCTAGGGATACATAATGTTTAGGATGGTTTAGGGTTGGATTCTGCGGGTCCTTTGGGATAAATGCCCTTTGCACAAGCTTTTCTGAGTTCCGCCATCTGGGACGGCTTTATAAGGAATATACAGGGAGTATCGTCCATAATGTTTGACAGTCACTCCCATGAATTTCCGTGCCAGGATGCTCCTTGAAGAAAGCGTCTTGCAAAAGCATCGGCGTGGACAGCAGAGCAGGAACCAACAGGAAGCGCCTCCAAGCAAAAGAACACATGGTCATATGGGTTTATATTTGACTTCCAAGAATGGGAGACTCACATGGAAAAGATAACGGAATATGAAATGGAAACGGGGGCCTTCGGAACCCTAAACCCTAAACCCCAAAACCCTAAAACCCAAACCCCAAACCCCAAAACCCTAAAGATCCCAAAAAATGAAGGCGGCCATGGCTCGTATAAGCGTTGAACCAATGAAAGAAGAAAGACAGGTCTGCTCCAAAGTATTGCTGAATACCTCAGATGGTGGGCTGCCTGAATCAAAACTGTAGTTTCCTTAGACCTATAATAAAAATAGCATCTTTAAAATTTTCTTAGGGTTATACTATAATAAGAATTCAAAATAACTCCTAAGGACCCTAAACCCTAAACCCTTATTGCTGGGTTCTCCTTTACACATGGGGGTTTCCCGAAGTACCTTTTTGGGGGACCTATAATAAGGACTATAGTATATTAGCGTCCATATTGGGGTACCCTAATTTTGGGACACCACTAAATAGATCCGATTATGAAGCCACTTGCGCTACACAGCTGGTTCTTTAACGAAGGGCCCTTAGAATCCACCGGCTTGGTTTGGATACTGGCGTACTTAGTATCACGCACGCTTCGCAAAATCTTGGAGACCCTTTGACTCCCAGTTGCAATCTGGAAGGTGCTCTGCTGGCCACTGCGAGAGGTTGCATGGATCCTGAGACACTTCATAGTTGATACGTCGAAGTCTGTATGGCCTTATCCATGCAGCCAAGGAGCATTCCAACGTTTGTTCTTGTAAAAATACTGCAGGTCTGTCCACGTATGGGCGCAAAAGAACTGGTTCACCACTTTTTCCTTAGGCAGAAAGAATGGCTCCCAGCACGCAGGTTCCCAACTCGCCCTGAATCGCCTAACATCCTAGCGGTTTAGGGTTTAGGGTTTTGGCTTCCATTTTATGGTGCGTCTTCTTTTCCATCTGTTTCTCCATCATTGCGGTAATCTCCCAATGTACTTCCTTTTTATCCCTATATATGACCTACCTGAATTCGGTCCAAGAGGCCGAGAGAAGGGCCTGCAAGCGCACAAACCTGGGTTGTTTTTTAAGACTTTTGAAGCTACTACAATAAGGAAACCCCGTCATTTGCGAGTTTGAAACTACTATAATACGCAAACCCCATTATTTACAAGTTTGAAAGTACCATAAGAAGGAAACCCAATTATTTACTAGTATATACCAACAATATGGCGAGTTAATTAAAGTTCTTTAGCAGCAGGCCAACCCTCGACCCTAAACCCTCAAGTCCGTATAAGCTTACAATTGCTTGGGGCAACAGTGCCAAATAAGCTAAAGTCTAAACTCATTAAAGGCGGTTATGTAGGGGATTATATTGGGGACTACTAAAGGGGTTTATTAAAGGGGTTTATTAAGGGGGATACTAGGAGTTTAGACTATAGCTCAAACATGAATATCCAGGAAGAAAAAAAAACTCGCATGGGTTGGTCTGGGCTTCTTTTTAGCGTCTTGCGCCTTGCTTCTTTCTACTGGGGCGGTACATCCTGTGACGTGGTGTTGGCTCCTTTATACCTTATCTTGTCTAGCATCTTTCTACTGAGGTGGTCCTTCGTGTGTTGGTCCTGTGTGCGTGACTTGGCTTTGGATCCTTTATGGCCTGTCTTGCCTTGCATCTTTCTACTGGCGTAGTCCCTCGTGTGACTTGTGTTCAAGCTTCAAACCATTGGCAAACAAAGATGATCTCCAGAGCTAGGCCCGAAAGGTGAACAAGAGACTACGGAAAACAAATCTGTTTTCCAAAGCTTTGCCCAAAAGACGAAAAAGACTACGGAAAACACGTCTGTTTTCCAAAGCTTTGCCCAAAAAGGCTAAAAACAACTACAGAAAACAAGTCTGTTTTCCAAAGCTTTGCCCAAAAGACGAAAAAGACTACGGAAAACACATCTGTTTGCTAGGGCTGGGATCAAGAGGCGAAAAGTCCACGGAAGACAAATATGTGTGTTTTCCTGAATCTCCAAATGTTAAGCTCAAAAATGACCACGCCAAACCCTAAGCAATCGTAAAAAAAACGTAAGCCCGTCTAGTCCCCCTTAGGTAGATAGAATATGGCTTTGGGTACTTGTTATTAATATCCCCATATGCCTCATATTCTATCTACTTAAGGGGGACTATATCCCCTAAACCCTAAACCCTAAGGCCTAGAAACCTCCGGATGCGACGCCGAGCTAATCGGATGCGATCTGCCGCATTGAAATCCTTAGGCAATCGTGACACTGCTGGCTCGGACTCTTCCTTACCTCTGGGGTTATAGGACATGTAGGGTTATATAGGGGTATAGAGGGGATATGTAGGGTTATAATATTATGGAGGTTATATGAGGGATTTTGAGGGTAGACATGGGATATATAAGAGGTAGATTGGGAGTCACAGGTTGACTGGATGACAGTCAGCATGACAATACTTACCTTTGGTTAGCTAAAAATGAGGGAATGGATACGTCTAGCAGTCCCTATATAGCCCATTATAATAGTTTCCATTTTCTTTTCCATTATCCCTATATAACCCCGATATTTACCCTACAATCCCTATATAACCCATATATGATCCCTAGAATTCATGTAGTTTCCATGTTCTTTTCCATTCCTTCATTCCCAGCTAGCCAAAGGCAAGAAGGTACCTCGCAGAGGTCGTCCATGCTCGTAGTGAATCTGACCTTTGCAGGTCGGCTTCAGCTCTTGGCCCTCTTCCACCCCGGCAGGAAAAACTGCGGCAACATGGCGCGCGGCATATCCAGGATACCGATTCGTGTGTCTTGTGCCATCCAAGAGCTCCTAAGGTCAGTCAGGCATGATTCATGGCGGCTCCCTGTACAGGGTTGCTGTTAAGGAACTTAAACTAAGTTACCATAATGAGTATATGTAGTACTTAATATGGTTTCCCTAGCCCTAAAACCCTATATATTCCTATATACCCCTATATAACTACCCTATATGCCCTTCATATGGTTTCCCAATATACTAGCTTAAATCAAGCTCCTGAACGGCAACCCAGCCCAGTCCCGGCTCGGAGCATCTGAAATGCTGACAGGAGTCGCCAAAGTCACAGAGCCAGAAACTTTCACGACCTGGCAGACAGAAACTGACGGTCGTCTCAACGGGCAGGCTAGACTTTTTTAGTATATCACAGTATATCATAGTATATGACAGGTACATTATAATATATTCTAGTATGCTCTAGGATATTGTAATATATTAAAGTATATTATGTCGGGTTTGGTTTGGCATGTGCGCTGTGCTTCGCTATGCTGCCACTTCCAACAAACCCTAACCGGCTTCTGTTCAAAGCATCCAGCCCTGCTGAACTGCTGCGATCAGTCCAAACAGCTCCGCTAGTAGAGATGCTCTGCGGAGAATGTAGGTATAGGCACATGCATCACCAAGTAAACCCACATTGCTACAAATCTTACGTACTATACATGAGTTTTCCCAAAATGAGGGGTACCTTTTTGGATGGTCCCCTTAATAAGGATTGTTATCTAATTGGGGTCGATATTGGGGTCCCCTTATTTTGGGAAACTACCATATAAGGTCTATATAACCATATTATGATATAGTAGTTTCCATGTTCTTTTCCATTATCCCTATACTTACCCCTATATAATCCCTATGATTATTTAAACCCTAAACCCTAAACCCCTCTGATCAATGCGCCGCCTGTTGTGATGTCCGTTGGGCAGGTGTGCTTGGCATACGCAGAATCATGTCGGAGCATGGCCTCGTGAACTCAATACTATACTATACCATACTATATCATACTGTATTAATTAGTATATTACACTATACCATACTATATTATACTAAATTATACTATATTATACTATATTTCACTATAGTATACTATATTATACTATATTATACTATATTATACTATATGATACTATATGATACTATAGTATACTATCATCTACTATAGTATACTGAAAATACTGAAATACACTATATTATAGTTCAGTGTTCTATATTCATTGCTGTTTGCATGGGTTCTCTTGTTCCGCGGTCCAGTCGCTGGAAACTCCTCATCCTCGGCAATGGCCTTGACCGCCTAGGCGTATGCACAAGTACCCTAAACCCTAAGCCCCTAAACTTGCAGCCATGAGCGTGCGCTCAAATTCTCACAAGAAGCAAAAGGCTGATCTAGAGAAGCTACCATACAATCCTGAACTCCTTATAGGGGTTCTTTAGGGGATTATATAGGGTTTAGGGTTTAGGGTCTAAACTCCTTAAAAGGGTGTATTTAGGGGATTATGTAGGGGACGACTAGAGGGGTTATTAAGGAGGATACTAGGACTGTAGACTAGCTCATATAACCTTATATTGAGGACTAGAGTACTTTGGGGTCAATCTTGGGGTCCCCCTATTTCGGAAACTACCAGATAGTCCTTGTGTAACCCTATATAGAGTAGCTTCCAATTGATTTCCATTTGATTGTCCATGTGATTCTCCATTACTCACATAGACTGCGCTGCATGGGCAGGGGTCTTCTGGGTTGCTGTTACGGAACTTTATTTAAGTTATTGCTTTGGGGAAACCCTGTTGCCTACTATACCCATCATGGTAACTGAATTCAAGTTCCTTAGCAGCAACCCAGTCCTTTGAGCACAATGGATACACGCGCCTCTGGATCGCGCAGGCTGACCAGCAGGAAGAGTTCGTCTTCATCTATGGTCCTGACCCAAGCATTGGGTCCCCCCTTGATGGAAACTATATAATATACATTCATATACTATAATATATTAGAGTATACTATAATATACTAGAATATATTACCGTGTACCGTAATATACTATAATATACACATCTGAAAGATGTCACAGAAGTTCCAGCAGCGTCTCATTGATTCACGCTGAAGCAGGTGCTCTGCGTGGTCGCTCTGCAGGCATTTGCGCCTGAACGTTTTGATCTCGAAGCCGCACTGCGGCCCACTGAGGATCCGAACCTTACGCGGTTTCAACAGCCGTTTGAAATTGAGAGGCGGCGGGTGCGCTAGGTTTGCTGTCGTGATTTGGATCCTGACATCTGCAAACCAGAGTGGCAACTCAGCAGAAGACATGGATATAATGTAGTAGTTTCCATTTTCTTTTCCATTATCCCTATATAACCCCAATAATATACCCCACATTCCATCTACCTAAGGGGGACTATAACC